GTGCTGTGAGTGTTGCATATATTTGTAGTCTCAAAAGAAGTATAGATAAATGATATATTACCTTTTTATATATATATAGTTGTTCTGATGCGTTGTTACTCACCACCATTTGTCAGTTAGTGTATGGTTGAATCTTGCAGCCAGCTGATAGAAGAAGTAAATGAATTTGATGCAAAGACAAAGGAGATGACAGCTGAGGATACCAAACATCGAGTGAAGGATTATAAGAAAACAGGCATGTTGAAAGGTATTGTTGTGTTTGAAGAATTTGTCCAGAAACTTGAGCAAACCTGGAAAGGGAAACGACTGGAAGCTAGTGGTAAGTCTAAAAGACAGATGATACTTTCTCTTTTCATATTCACATAATTTAGGAATTGACTAAGTTCCCTTAAGACACAAATTTAGTCTAATAAGATGATATAAGGGAATTTGTAGATGAACAATGAATTTGACATTTGGCCAGTGATCTTGAATAAGACTGGTTCACCTGAGATTCTCACTAACAGTTAATTATGCAGTTCTGAATATTTGAGAACTGTGAATGTGACAGCTGATATGTTGAATGAATAAGATTATTGTTTCCTCTTGGAATTTGGGCAGTATGGGTGTGAGTAATTTGACACACCATAATATCTAAGATGAATGTTGATGTACCTGGCCTCTTTCCTGCTGCCACATCTAAGGCTTCTGAATCCTGTACATTTCTTCGGACCTGGACAGGGTTACTCTGAGTTCTTAAGTATTCCATGAAGCTGTACAGTATTGAAGATGGCTGTCTTCTGGGTTGTTGAACCATGTGGTCTGGTAGAAGTTCACCAACATTTCAGTGATGATTGCTGCTTCTGTTATCTTCAAGGCAGCAAGCACCTCTGAAATGTCAGTAAACGTCTTCCAGACCAAATGGTGCAACAACCCAGAAGACAGCCATCTTCATACCTGTTGCCATGAGAACCTGAAATCTTACTGAACTGACTTGCACAGTCTCTGATTACCACAAAATTATGCAGTATTGCTCAGTCTTTTGTAGTTGGTGACAGTTTATTTAGGTAAGGTTAGTTTAGTTTTAGTAGATGAATTTATTGCTAATGTATGTACACTAATCAGTCATGATCGTGCATGAAGGATTGCACTGAGTCTGAAGATGGCTGTCTTCTGACTTGCTGTGTCGTGTAGTCCGATAGAAGTTTACCGACATTTCAGAGTTCCTTGCTGCCTCCAACATCAGGGTGATGAGGAGGCAGCAAGGAACTCTGAAACATCAGCAAACTTCTACCAGACTACACAGCACAACCACCCAGAAGACGGCCATCTTAATGATCTTACATATTAGCCATCATACAAGTTTTTTTTATATTTACAATTACATTCAATTAATAAAAGTAGTATATATGTTAACCCAATGGGATTGGTGATATAATTTTACCACTTTTATGGGCACAGTTAATATGAAGCTATCAAAGGTATACATTAATAATTCTTAAAATTTCTATAAACTTGCATAATTAAATCAGTTTATAAACATGTCCATGTCTGAGGCTGGCATCGGTTTTCTGGCTTCCTTACCCTTTTATCTGAAGGTTTATGTGGAATTCAGCTTCTGAAATATTGCAGTTGTATAATTTTATAATTTAAATGATGGGCAAAGTCCAGAAGAACAATTTTACATGTTATAATTCACCAGCATCGGAGACTTGCAGACTCTGACAATGTTTCTCTTTATTTTTATTGAAAATTACATTGTTTGTTATTACTGTTGCTGTGTCTTAGTTTGTAAGTTTTGTGGTTTTGTTTTGTAAGATTCTGCAGTGCACAATAAAACTGAAGTTCTCCAAAAAAAAAAAAGCTGCAAATATAATAGAGAGAGACCATTCACAAGACTGGAAAGGTATAATCCATACCAGAATACACAGATTTCTCACATGTTTTATTTCCACCTTTACATTTTGAATGCTCCTAGCTGACAGAAAAAGATACCATATACAGTAGAGTCAGATTATCTGACATTCTATTTTATTCGACATGCAGCGTCAGAATGCTCAACTCAGCACGTAGTGGAATGAATCACACACCCGCACCATGCACCTACATTTATGTACGCAGTTGCTACAAACATGCTACTGTTCAGGTGCTGGTGTGACCTTGCCACAAAGGAAATGAAGTAGACTCAAAGCACCCATTACTAAGTTCTTAAAAATTAAGCTCTTCCAGTTCTTCTTCTTCTTTTGTAATCAATCCTAGGATTGGTTGATAGCAGCTCTCCAAGCTTCTCGATCCTCAGCAAGTCTCTTCAGTGCTGTATAGGAGGGGCAGCCGGTGTCCTCCATTAACTGATTAATATATGTTAACCTTGGTCTGCCCCTAGCGTTCTTTCCCTCTACAGCGCCTTCAAGGATCGTCTTAATCAGTCCCTCATGTCTTATGATGTGCCCAACCCAGATGTTTCTTCTCTTCTGTATCATATCCCACAGGCAGAGCTTCTTCTCCACAATCCTCCGCAGCACTTCATCATTTGACACTCTCTCCACCAAGGGGATTTTCAATATTCCAGGTTGCGCTTTTTGTTAAAGGCGATCTTCGCTTGGTTGATGCGGCTTATAACTTCTGCTTTTGACCTTCCGTCCGATGATAACCTGCATCCGAGATACGTGAAGGACTCCACGTTCTCCAGCCGCTTGCCGTCCAGCAAGCAATGCGCCTGGGTGCCGTGTTTGCTCACCACCAGGATTTTAGTCTTCTCTTTGTTGATGTTCAAGTTGTAGGTGGTGCTGAGGGTGCTCTCCATCTCCGCCAGGGTCACTACCAGGTCTTGCTCATTCTCAGCCAACACCGCTATGTCATCAGCAAATCGTAGCATGTCAACTTTCTCCCCTTGAATACACACTCTTCTTACTCCTTCAAGCTTCTCTCTCACCTCGTCCAACCCTCTCTGAATATAACCATTGAACAGGACAGGTGACATTGAGCAGCCCTGTCGTACTCCTTGCCTGATGTTGGCCTCTTCCTGATGTTCACCACACCTCACCACTGCCACCTCCTCTCTGTACAGTCTCTGCACCACAATCCTATCCTTGTACTTTACGCCTGCCTCCCTCAGCATCTTGAACAACAGCTGCCAGTCGACCCTATCAAACGCTTTTTCTAGGTGTATGAAGGCAATATACGTGTCTTGGTCTTTCCTTAATCTCTTTTCAATAATTAGGTGTAGACCTAGAATTGCTTCACGGGTGCCCCTTCCCTTCCTGAAATCGAACTGGTCCTCCATGAGCATCGCTTCTATCTTCCCTTCGATCCTCCGTAAAATTATAGTGGTTAGGATCTTAGATGCATGGGCCACTAAGCTGAGGGTTCTATACTGCTCGCATTTGACTGCAGACGCTTTTTTCGGTAGCGGGACAATGATACACTTTTTAAAATCTGATGGAATCTGCCCTGTCTCATAAATTCTACTCACTAAGTGGAACAGTTCACTTTGTACCCTTTCACCTGCAGCCTTGATGAGCTCCGCTGGTAGATCGTCGATACCAGGTGCCTTCCTATCCTTCATCTGTGTTACAGCCTGGTCGAACTCATCTCTCAGAATACAGTCCCCTTTCTCTTCTGGATCTACTTTGTCTTCCTTTTCCAGTGTCTCTTCTCCATCATACCCTCCTCCTCCATAAAGTTTTTCTAGGTTATGCTTCCATCTCTGAGCAATGTCCTTTTGCTCATACACTACCATTCCTTATTCAGTTTGTATACCAATGCATTTTATCCTTCGATTACCAAAAAATTGTTTAATTGTCTTGTAGGCTCTCTCCAGTTTACCTTCCTTAGTCAGTTCATCAACTTCTTTACATTTTACTTCTAAATGTCGTTCCTTGGCTTTCCTTGCTTCTCTATTTATCTCATTCCTTAATGCTCGGCACTGCCTCCTTCCTTCTTCGGAGGGATCGTTTTTTAGCTTTCTTCTTTTCTCTGTTTTCTCAACAATGTCTTCTGTTATCCATTCTTTTCTGTTCTTTGCTTTCTGTATTCCTATCACTTCCCTCGCTGTTTCCAACATATTTTTCTTCAGGGACTCCCACTGCTCTTCTACATTCTCTGTTTGATTTATCATGGACGTGTTTGTCTTATCTTTATATGCCAACACTACCTCATTGTTTTTAAGCTTTTCTAAATTCCACATCTCATGAGTTCTCTTTTTTAACTTTTTAAATTTCAGGTCACATTCACTTAGCACCAAGTTGTGATCACTGTCAATATCAGGGCCTGGGTAGCTTCTGCAGTCCTTGACTTGGTTCTTGAACCTTTCTCTGACTAGAATATAGTCGATCTGATATCTACTCCTGTCTCCGGGAGCCTTCCAGGTATACTGTCTGCGTGGGTGGTGTTGGAACCACGTATTACACACCACTAATTGATGCTGAGTGCAGAACTCCACCATCCGATCCCCTCTCTCGTTCCTCTTTCCAAGTCCATAGGACCCCACTACTGTTCCATCTATTCCTTCTCCTACCACCCGCGTTCCAATCGCCCATAATAATCAAGTTATCTTCTCCGTTCACTCCCCTTATAATTTCATTTATCTCTTTGTAAACTCTTTCCACCTCATCATCTTCTTGGTTTGATGTCAGCATGTACACTTGAACTATCACAGTCTTATTCGGTTTGGTATCGAGTTTGACTAGAATAATCCGTCCATTCAATTGCACATATTCACTGACTCTTTGTCCTAGCTCCCTGCTTAGTACGACTCCTACTCCTCCTGTTCCTGGCCTGCCTTCAATGCTGCCTGTGTGGATTACTCGGTAATCCCCACTCCAGAAATCTCCAACATCACGCCACCTTATCTCACTCACTCCCAGCACGTCTATCCTCATCCTTTTCATCTCTAACTTAAGACTTTCTAGTTTCCGACACGGTAGAAGTGTCCGAACATTCAATGTTCCAATTCGTTTTTTACAGTTATTCTTCTTCTTCTTCTTCAAAGCGAAGTCTCCTGCAGTCCCCACCCGGAGATCCATTTGGGGGACTATTTTACCTCCGGAATATTTCACAAGAGTACACTTCATATCTAACTAACTTCATCTCCTGAATTGCTGATACTTGGGAAATCCTGAGAATCTTTATTGTGGTGGATTCCCCTTGCCTTCCGCATCCTATGCCGTTGACCCATCTGGGTTCACCCGCCTTTAGGGGTGATTTCTCACCCCAAGGGCATGAGGGTGCCCTGAACCTCCACCCGTTTATCCACCCTCCGAAGAGGCTGTTGGCACTTGGTAGAGGGGAACCACTTATACCGGTGGTCACTTGGTACTCTTTCAATTACACTGTGTTAAATACTGTTTTTGTTTGTGAAATTTTTCATTTTATTCCATGTTGTATTTCCTTTGTAGTTTCATATCATAAATTGAGTTATAAATTGTTTTACTTACCCTTCTCTTTTTTATTAGTCTTCTGTACTATCTGACTGTCTGTTGGTCCCATTTAGGTCAGATAGTTGAGGCTTTACTGTAATACATGTAAAATGTAAGAATTACCATCCACAGAAGCATATAAATAAATTGTATAAGCATATTTTTTCAACATAATATTTACTGCATAAACTGTAACAGATTTATCTTCTTATCCATGAAAGAAATTGAAGTGCATTGCAAATCAGTTTATGTATGTTCTACCATTATCACTATTATTATCAATGAATTGTATGAACATACTTCTACTTCTTGTTTCTTCTCTACTAATTCTTTTGTTCGTCAGAAACTGACTATTGAGATGTCTCTTAAACTGTTGATTTTAAATGAAAAAATATAAAAGAAAATGTCTGTCATCTTGGACCAAACTTGGTTTCTATCATTTGTTCTTAATTAAGTAGGATTTAATGTCTTCTTTATGTGGTGTAAATCCAGAACAATGTAATTTGGTTCTCTGGAAGCATATTGGACTCGTGCAATTGGTCTTAGGATTGAATTCTACTTAAGTCACCATTTTTTACTGGTTTATGTGGTCGTGTATTCTTTCAACATACATCATTGTATTCAATGCCATGAGAATCTAAAATTTCACCAAATGAAGATTCCAAATACATCATAATCAGCTTTCATATGCAAAGTAAACCAGTCGTGTAAAAGAATTAATTATGCAGTTGAAGGTTGTAATAAACATAAAAGCAAGTAATCATGGACTGTATGTAAGTATAAATAGGAAAATAAGTTCATAGATGAAGTAGAAACAAGCACCATAACAATCTATTTCAACTGGCACTGGAAGCAAACGCACCGCACATTAGACTGCTGAAGAGAAACAGTGTCAGACAAGGCAGTACATAAAATGGGAAAGGATTTTACATCAGTGACACATCATGAGGAAATAGGTTCAAGCTCACACAGCAGACATTAATGTCAGAAACTGTACAGTAATTGATAGTGTACAAATCAAGCAAAACCCTTCCCCCCCTCATAAATGTTAATGAAAGTAAATTTGCAGAATATGGGAAATACACGAGCCAAATAGATCAATCCAAGAGGAGAAATCAAGATAGAAGTTATATTGCAAATTTTTACAAGACATAACCATTAATCTTAAGAACTGTGACAAATAGCAGTAATGACACTAATGCATTTACAGTTTTAAATAATATAATGTGCTCTTAAAGTGGTTTGAAATTCAGTTTTAAAGAATGATTAATAGTGTAGGTATTAATTGTTTCCCTGAAGATGGTAAAATTGTTGCTGAAATGTATTGGTTTAATACACGGGATATGTTAATTATCTGAATAACTGTGGGGGTAAAAACAATTTTATGATTGAAATGCGAGATCATGTTAGGTTAGGTAAAAATTGGAGTCTAGTTTTGGTGTCAGCATTACATTCATTACTGCTATCAGATTTTTTGTCCATGCCAGATTCAATGCTGGCATTAGTCAGTTTTGGATTCAGCTTTGGCATTATAATTGAATTTTGTGAAAATTTCAAAATGTCCTTGGCATCTGTGTTTGTTTCTGTTGGTGCATTCCCTTGGATATTTTCCTGTGCGTGTCTCATGAGTTTTCACTCTGATACAAATGCTTAGCCAACAAAGCCTGTGACACGTGGAAATTAGGATATTCCACTGGTAGCTCTAATTCCCTTTCGTTTCCTTTATTCCTCCTCCTCTGTCCTTGACCCTTAACAGGGTGTGGTGGCACTTCATGGATTGGAATCGTCCATCCATGAAGTGCTCTCTAGGGAATATAATCAGGTGGTTTCCCCTTGCCTGCCTGATTCTATGCCGTAGACTACACTAGGTAGTTCATCTGCCTTCAGGGACGATTTCTCGCCCCCAGGACAAGAGAGTGCCCTGCCCAGCCCAGCCGGCTTGGCTGCTTATCCCGGCAGCCGCTCTGTCCCCCTCCACGTCAGTCGCCTATTGACGTTGCCCATCCTCTACCACGGGGAGGTGCAGATGGGGATTTTTCCTTTCTCGAGCCTAAGACCTTCAAATGGCATTTCTTAGCGCTCTCCAGTACTTTTAGAGGACCCTTTATTCCTAGTTCAAGTCAAGTGTAAGAATTTGTTTTCACTGCTTCCACACAAATCACTGGACAAACCTTATCCTGTCTTATAAAACGTTTAGATGTGCCTTATATGATTTGATGGTGATCAACATTGCCATCCTTAGTCAACCTCCAAAGCAACTAATTGCATGGCTGAACACAGTTTGTATACTTTGTTATGAATCAAATCTCCCATTAACTGTGTAGGATAATGATTTGGTAATAACAATTTTTTCTTGTCAATAGATATGAAGATGGAATTTTGAGTCTGACTGGTGCTGGACTTTGAAAAGAAGTAACAGTGTGATGTGAGGATTTTGAATTGGAAGTGTTTGTGACTTGTGTAGTTATGAGAAACAAATGTGAAGGAAGATGATGACAGGAGTATCATTTATAATCATCGTTTTTAAATATCATTTGTTCTGAACTGTAGTTGGTCATTTCATGCTGTTTATTTTTTCTGTTTTATTAAATGAAATGCACATTTATTGCCATTTATTTTTTCTGTTACTACAACTTTATACTTTTCCAGTATATTCCATCCTGTGTAATATGGGTGTGAAACTTGGTTTGTTGCTCTGAGGGAAAAGCATAGAGTAAGGATGTTTGAAAACAGTGCTAAGGAGAATGTTCAAAGGGAAGAGAGAGGAAATAGCAGGAGAATGTAGTAAATTTTGTAATGAAGAGCTTCATAATTTGTACTATTCAGCTGATTTTTTTGGGGTCTTTAAATCAAGAAGTTTTTGATGGGTGGGACATATATCATGCATGAGGAAAATGATAAATGCATAAAAAAATGTGGCTGGGAGAGCATTCATTTAAAAAATTGTTTGTTTTTTTTGAGGTGAAATGATAGGTTCAGTAAGCTCCTCTGAAAGATCAGTTAATATCTCCCATACCACCCAAAAAAGACAGCCATAAGTAGCCAAGTCAACATAGGGAAAATTTTCAGAAGTGAGTAATTTGATATGAAGCTCAGAAGAGGTGTTTGTTTGTAAAGGGCCCTGTGTAGATTGAGATGTACAAAGACTAACCAACTACCAGATGTCCATCTCACCGCCACCAGAACCTATCCTCACCAGGAGGAGAATGTGGATTGATGCTGTACTGTTTTATTCTGCTTATTTTATGGTGTAAAGCCATTCATTTGTGGTTTGAATTACAGTGATGCTGTGTTAATTCAGCAAGATAAGGAATTTATAGTAAAACTGTTGAGAGAAATTAAGGGCTTATTTCATAATTATGTCATTAATGTAATTGAAAAAGTATAACCTAGAATGAAATGTATCGCTGTATAATGTGGATAAAACTATCACAATGTTCAAGAAACTAAGGATACAGGGCTGCTGTTGCTGTGAAGAAATATTTGCAAGGAGGGGGCTTAAAGCATGCAGAGGAAATACTGTTGATTGCATGGTTGTGTTCAAATAATGTCCTGTCACATCTGTGAGGCAGTTATAACTTTGAGATTAATTATAGAGAAAAAGCTAGAGAAGGATAAGGAAACCTTTATTGCATATGTTGATGTTGAGAAAGCATTCGACAATGTTAAATGGGGGTTGGTGTTTGAAATACTGAGGAAAGCAGGAGTTAACTATAGAGATCGAAGAATGATTTGGGAATTGTATGGGAATGAACGGGCTGTAATCAGACAAGGGGACCAACAGGAAGAGGCAAAAGTCAACAAAGGGGTGATGCAAGGATGTGCGCTATCTCCCATAATATTTAATGCTTATATACGATTATCTGGGTAGGTTGTATATATAACCCTGGTTAATCGTAACCTTGAAGAGCTTGCTTGAATGAAAGGGAAAGACACTAATGTAATAAATATGTAAGTTTATTTACAGACACACACCACTTAAATTTTTGAAGATTTACTAATAACGGAAAATACTTCTACGTCTATCTGAAAGGTTCATTCGGCATAAACAGCGTAACGAAGATGTGTAAGATCCATACCAACGATAGACATGCTCTGATTTGCAGACGACATCGCAATATTGGCAGGGAGTGAACAAGACCTCACAAATATTCTGATTAAGATGGAAGAGATTATGGGGAAGAGTACAATATCTGTAAACAATCAGATGACAGAGGAAGTCGGTGGGGAGTAAGATCACTAAGGACGGGCGAAGCAAGAGAGAGGGAGGCTGCAGAACTAACCAGGCAAAAAATGCATTCAATACGAAGAAAAGGCTATTGACCTCGGATAATATCAGAACTGAAGAAAAGAAAAGATTTGCCTCCTTTGAGATGTGGTGTTATAGAAAATACTGAAAATAAGAAGTGTGGATAAAGTTACCAATGCTGAAGTATGCAGAAGGTTAGGTGAGAACGGAAGCCTGTGGAAAATGTAGACTAAAAGAAGAGATGAACTGGTTGGCCACGCCTTACGACACGAAGGGCTGTTAAAAACCATTATAAAAGGAAATGTAGAAGGGAAGAGAAGTAGAGGAAGACCCCCCATTATAAAAGGAAATGTAGAAGGGAACAGATGTAGAGGAAGACAAGAGAAGTACATAAAAGAAATCATTGGCGATGTAGGCCGCCAGAGCTATCAAGAAATGAAAAGGAAGGTAGAAAGGAGATTGGAATGGAGAACTGCAAATCAATCTTAGGATTGAATACTTAAGAAGAAGAAGACATCTGTGAGTGGTGAAATTTCCTTCTCTTCATACAAACATATCCTGACTGACAAGTGCCACAGACTTATTCAATGTAATATAGAAAAATAGCATTGTGACATACAGCAAGGCAAATTATAGCTGGAAAGAGAGAGAAGATAAAATCCCAAGGAGAGTCATCAGCAACTTAGTATGTGCATTACATGTAATTTAAGAGTTTATATTTATTTTTTTATTTTGATAGCATATTTTGAAAATTTTTGGTGTATAAAATCTGTTATCTTCTCTTTACCCCTTCAAATGACAGAAATTTGTTTTCAAATATATACGAGAGCCAAAATGGGAATAATATGGCTGCAGTGATGTTTTCTGTCTAATGCCTTAAATATGAAAAGGTAAACTCTCTGGTTATCTTGTCTGCTGGTGTGAACACACTACACTCTAGGCTGGGGAGCCCAGTTTTCCAAAACTACAAGAATTTGACGCCTGTCACAAAAGAACAGAAGCAAGACCTTTTGAACTTTTGCAAAATGAGGCAATCCATGGGCAATGTGCCCAGCTTCTGACTGAGGACTTCCACAGACACACGTCACCCACAGTGAGCATATAAATGCTGAACTTAATATATGACAAAACCTTAAGTGTGGTTGATGACTTTCTTCATGACACTGATGAGTAATGAGTGTTTTCAGTGTCCATGTAACATAATTCTTAAAAGTACAATGATTATCAGAAACATCCCAAAGATAAAGACATACAGAGAGGAAACAATTTTGTACTTGCATCCTGATTTATTATGTCTATTTATAAGTAATAAATGTCTTTCACATTTTAATGTATGGAGTTTATTATTGTAAACGTTACTTCAGTGATATAAAATATGAGTGTTACTTTATTCTTGATATTATATATGTTTTTGTTACAAATATAGGATATGTCAAGCTTTAAGGTGTATTATCATATTCTCATTTGTTGTATTATAAATGCACACAAATTATTCAAGTACCGTATAGTATATGATAAACGAAATTTCATGCAAGTGGCATTTTGTACATGATCTTCTTCCAGTAGCAACTTCTGCCATCAAACTGACCTGCAACAACAGAATATCTGTATAAGATTATACAGGAGCATCGTGCCGTGAGGTTTATCTGAAACGTCACTGTTATCCATCTGTACAAAATCATTTACCTTAAATCTTGTAATAAATTCAATTGTGACCACTTCACTTTGTTGAATGTAAAAGTGACAAAATTAATGAAAGGTTAAAAACAGTTAAGAATGGTTGCTTTTGAACTCCAATCAAAATAGAAGCATCTTTGATTAAAACTGCGTGGCTTACCAATACACAATGTTAATTATGATTAAAATGTTAGAACATCCTGATGTAAATTCAAGTGGATTTTGAGTTGTCACTGTCGTATTGGCGCTCAGTTGATACTGCCACAGTGTGTATTTGAAAGGCTTGAGTTGCTACAGATGATATTTACGTGCGAATCTGGTATTCATGCTTTGCGTCATCAGATGTGTGATGGGGGTTCTAAGAGATTACACTTAGAATTTCCACCCGATATCTGACAAACCAAAACCAGAAAATCACAAAATCAACATTGTGTACTGAGCCAGCAGATGTCAATTCTTTCTCTGGAAGAATATTCCAAAATTCTTATTATTGATAGTATGGTGCTTGATGCTTTAAAATGCTCTGCCAGTATCTTATAATCGTAGCAATTCCAGTGATGTTGTTAAGAGTACCATTGTACTGTTAAAAATAAATAACTTTCCATTAAATGACTAAAGAATCTGTCCGGCAAGGAGCAAATAATGTAGGAGACTGCATTACCCACACCGAGTAAAATGCATGTAGCATCTTTGAACATTAAGCAAGTGAGTCAAAGCAAATTAAAGCCAGTCACAGTTGAGATATCAACTGATGAAGATACTGTTGTGCTGAGTGATGAGAATAATTTTTTACAGAAACTTTGGGGGCATCCTCTCAACCAAAAGTGTTATCACAGTGTCATTCTTTTATTCTTATAGGAGATTCAGCAATATGAAAACAGATTCCACAACTTTATACATTTGACTCAAGCCACTTCTCATTGTCTGTGGAATTTACTGGGCAGTCCATCAGGAAATTTGATACAAATTTTAAAAGAAGCATTTCACCAGAAGAGAAATTGCTGTCACTTCAAAGTAATATTTATACAAATACAGGAACAGTTTATCTTTTACTTTGAATTATTTACTTAAAATAATTGTACATGCTTATTAAAGTACAAGACACGAACATTTCACAAATTATAAATGATTGATTTAAATAAAAATAAAAAAAATGCAAGTATCCGTGATGTATTACCAGAATTCTGGTATGGTGTGGTTCTTGCAGCAGTAGGACTTCCGGGAGAATTTGCCATTAATGAGCAGGTGGAACGCTGCCTTGAAAAGGAATTACGCCATTGGAGCGGCTCCAGAACCTCACTGGTAATTAGAGTTTTTGAATTATGAATTTCAAAGCAGCTGAACCTCCTGTCCATCAGGACAACAATTTGGGGTACTGAGCATTATTTCTTTAAGCTATCTTTGTTTCTGTCAGGTTAATTTTTTGAAAAGTCAAATCCAGTTCATCTGGTTCTGGTGATTTTGACTTGGCACAAAGAAATTCTGACATTGGCCCTGTCAATTTATCTGCAACCAGATCAGAAGCCGTCATTCTTCTGATATTCTTCTGTGGTGAGTTTCTACTTCATTGTGTGTGTGTCAGGATCCACCTGGTTATAATATGTAACATTTTGGGTGTTTGTATATTCTGTCTGATTGCGTCTCCATTTTTCGATGTTGATTCAAAAAGTCATTTAGAAAACAGG